GTAACCAAAGAAAAAAAACAAAAAGGGGAATAATTACTTTAGCTGGACAGTTTTTTTTTTTCATATAATGTTTTACACATATCCATGATTTGCTGCACAGTAAAAAGCACGATTTCAACAGCCCTAGTTATCATTGACAATGGAAACCAAATATCTAGAATTGCAGCAATGCTTACCTATAAAGGAGGATAAAGCAACCCCAATTGCAACACCAAGCAGCCTTAGAGCGTACTGAAAGAATGATGACAGAACTTTGTCAGATGTTTTTTAGCAAATGAAAAATTTGGAATATAAATATATATTTATGCTGTGGAATGTCATCATAACTAACAGCAAGAAAAAGTAACGAAACCATGTCTTTGAAATATCGCATTTATGCTGTGGAATGCTTCAGTGATGATCTCACCTAGTAATTACCTTGTCTATAACCTGGTCGGGCACGGAATGTTCAGATCCACCTTCATAATCATTTATCAAACTACCAAGAACAAGCATTGTCATAGGGGTTTGTAATCCACCTCCAATGCAACCCAATGTCCCAAACAGTAACAGAAATTTGTCAACTCCATCTGCATAACGGAAAATTCCACCTTTGCTACCCATTTTCTGGTGGGATTTCTATGCCTGTCACAAAGTTCTTATCTTCTTGCTTGAACACCTTGTTGTCTATCATAGGTATCTTTGTACTAGTTTCAAGTTATTGTAGTTTTCTATTGAGAGCTGAATTATTGCCGTATGGATTGAGCTACACATGATTTTGACATTAATGCCGGCACTTGTTTACTAGTTGAAGGATTCCTCAATTAATTCCTTGCCACTAGGAGACATCATATTATAGTTTGACTGAACAAGACATCATATGATTATGCTAGTTTGGTGTTACTTGTATAGTTTTAATCACAAGGAACACATATAACGTCCAGACACCAACGACGAGGAAGATAAGTTAGAGAAAGAATCTACTCCAAAACATGATCATTGAACCTATCGATTTGTAATCGAGAGCAAGGAGTGTGGTGTAATCGGAAAAATAGTGTCTTGTAGTATTCGACTCAACTTTGGTTTATTTATGGAGTGAGTGAAAGCAACATCGATGAATAATATAATCAATCTCACTCTCTGATGTGATGTATAGAGACTCTATGTGTTATCCATTTCCTTTCACATGGAATGATGAGAATAGAATAAGAAAAGCCTAAATATTCCCTTTTTTTTTCTATTGTTTGAGAAAAAAAATACTTCAAATCTAACTTAATATCACAAAATCAACTATATTAATGAATGATCCGATAACAGTTTAATAAGAAATTAAATAAATATCGTTAAAATAATATATAATCTGGTTCTAATATTATATTAAAAAATGAACTTTAAATCTAATATAACATACAAAATCTGCTTGTAAAATAATATCTACATCTATTTATATCTTCTAAACCGGTTTTATATTTGGTCGAAATAACTTGTATTACACCTAATAATTTAGTATCTATAACAGGGCTAAATTTTTTTTCTCTAAAACAATATAAAATAACCTTTTTTTTTATCAAAATCGACTTAACTAATTTTAGTTGGATTTTTAATGTGGTCATCAAATACAATGCACAAGTTAATGTGATTTGATCTTCAAACTTGTGAGTCAAAATTTGCTGATGAGATATTTAATTTTATTAAAATCCTTACTTAAACTTGTACTTTTTTTTCATCCATAAAAATTAAATACATGTTAAAAAAATTTATAACAACACTGACTTGTCATACTTGGTGACAGAAGTAGATTCTCCAAAGCATCTATAGCAGGGGTTTATACCACAACTAAATGAATTATTTAAATAAAAATGATTAATTAAAATAACATTTTTCACCAAGGAAGAGGCATAAAAGACAGGGTGTCCGTACAGATGGTGTTTCCAAAGTAGTTCACTGTCCAACTATATAACGACAAAGCTTTTTAATTTATGTTATTATACGCTGCTGCTTCGTATTATTATTTATTATTATCTGGGTTTTAAATTTTTCTCACAGAATTAAAGATAATGATAAATAAAAAATTTGAACATTGCATAAACTGAAACAGAGATTTATGTGTAAAGTATTTGGTTTAAGGAATTGATACGTGTAAGTGGCCAACCGTGTGACCTTGATTGCATCGAAAAGTACATCAACCACGCATGCCTTCCCCACACTTATGCTTCTCCTCGTTGCTATCAAACAAAACTACTAATAATTAATAAATAAAGAACTAACATTTTTAATTCATGTAAGATCTGGTTAAAAAAATTAGGTTAAAAAGAGTTTGGTTTTTTTATTAAACTTTGATACTTGTTTAGAGTATAGGATCGAGAACAATAGTTTAATGTTTCATAAGTCGATGAAAGATCTCATTTCAAGTTTTTGTAATAGAATTATTTACAAAACTAAAAAGGTACTCTAACGTTAAAATAATTAAAATTTCTGAAATTCAAAACTTATATTTTTATCTCACTTATATTTATAAATTTTAGGCTGAACTTTTAATTATTAACTATTTAATTATGATCTAATTATAAGTGATTACACTTTATTTCTAAACAGATTTAACATAGACTAATTAACTTGGTAGATGATTAATTAACATGGTTCATCAACAGTTATGTCTTGAAAATGGTTCTTCCCTCAATTTATGATTGATTAAAAGGTCATATGTTATAATATGATTTGGTTAAAATTTTAAAAATATATAAATAAAATTTTATTAATTTGATTGCGTTAAATGTTTTTACGTATTAAATATATTTTGAAATTCTATTTGATTATTTACATCATTCTAATAAATGTTAACTTACTATCTATATAAAAACACCTTTTAACAAATCTAAGAAAATTAACATTATTAACTTTAAAAAAAAATACCCATATTTTAAGTTTGAACAACATAATATATCAAGGATATAATATTGATTATAAAATTTTAAAGATAAAATACATATTTAATCATAAAAAATTAATAATTTTTTCTTCACATTATTATTATTATTATTATTATTATTGTTATTATTATTTTATGGAGAGTCTAAAACTTATATATTATAATGAGAACCTAACTCTATTTAAAAAAGTAATGTAACTGTTCTTATTTAGGAGAATAGTCACGTAAATGTTATCAGTGATGTTTTTTTTAGAGAGATTTTGGCTTTCAAAAGTCATGTACACATATAAACAAGTATATAAGTGAAAATATATAATTTTTAATTTTAATATATATATAGTTGATCATCTCAAATTTCCATATACTTATAATTTTTTTTTTGCACTTCTAAGTTTTTAAAACTATGTTACAAAGTGCCACATTATATAATTGATTAATAAATGACTCATTTAACCTCTATCACATAATAATTATATGCAGCATTATATAGTCTTTCACTTTGGTATTATTATTTTAAATATTTATTTAACCGTGATAATACCATTATAATTAACAATGGGACATGTATTTATTGATGTAATATATATATTTTTTTGTCAATAAATCAATTTTAACTAATGAGATATTGTTTGATATTTATATTATAAATAATTGTTGTAATCACGTTACATATTGATTTGTTCGTTAAGAAAATCAAATTTAAAACATCAAAAAAATGTTATAAGAGAAAAGAATGTATGATATAAATAGTATTATACTTTGTAGTACAATTATTATAGATTAGAAAGTAACAATAAATATGCCCTTTTATCAAAATAAGTTTGTTATTTTATATTAACTGAATAATTGTATCGGTTATAAGCATAATCACATTGACATAATTTATTTGAAAAGACAAAATATCAATTTATTTAGTATGTATATAATTATTTTAGAACAAAATGGTAGTATATGGAAAAGAATCTGATTATAGATCAAACGTGTGATTATTTTAATTTAAAACTGTTTCCAAAATTAAATTTTAAATATACAGTTGAGATAATTGTTAAATATTTGAATTTTTATTATACTAATTTTTAAAAGTATTTGATATAAAATTAATTTTAAAATGAAAATTAAATTTGAAATAAATTTTAAATAAAAATAAAAGATAATGCAATAAAGAAATAAAAAATTGATGTTCTAAAATAATAGTACATTAAAATAAATTAATTTATGAAATATAATTATGATATAAGTTATATAAGTTAAAAGAAATATGTGTTTTAAGGAAAGTTTTGTAATGTTGGAGTTTTATTAAAAAGAGTGATTTTTTAACATAATGTGTTAGAAATAATGTGCAATTAATGTGAGGAAGATAAAGGTGAGAAAGAAGAGAGATGATACGAGGTTTGCGATGGAAAGTGGAGATGACGTGGAGAGAATCAGGTGGTCCAAGTGTCAAAACCCCAGAGAATCAAATGAGGAAAAGAACAGGTGAAAAAAATCTGACAGAGATGTGAAGGGGTGCTGCTGTTGCTGCTGCCTCCTTCTTTCTCTTTCTTTAGCAGCTCAACTGAAAGCTACACAACCAAATGCACCAGAACAACATTAAATGCTCTTCTCTCTCATCAAACAAAAAAAAAAACAACTATACAAAATCCAACCCATAAACTATATTAATATTAACTTATTTATTTATTTAAGGGCTAATAATAATAAATAAATTTCAGGTTTGTCAGCAATGTCTTTTTCATCATCCACAGTGAAGAAACTAAATCTCTGCATACATAATAAAAGACCCAGCTATGTGAACGTTTTGACAGTAATCTTTTACCCTTTGCTATCACTGTACTATATAAAAAGTTAACCTTTATTTGGGATTAGACCAAATTGAAAAACTAGATCAAGAACTACTCGAAATTACAGACTCATTCTTAACCTTGTTCTTTTCTATTTCTATCAAACAAGATAACATAAAAAATTGTATCTTTTCAGTTGTAGAGTTTCTTGTATCAGTTCCTTAAGAAGTGCACTCGTTAACCGACATAAACGTCGTTACTATGAAGAACAAACGGCTATGGTTTCTATGTTGTCCATCGTTCAAGTTTTCTATCTATAAATGATACATTGATATTCTTGAAAACGAAATTCCAAAGCAAAGTAAAACACTACATCTTAAGCAGCAGAACCTACAGGGCTACACAGGCGATTCAAAAGAGAAAATGAAATATCACTAGACTGAAAAAAAAAGAGCATTAAAGAAAAAAAAAATGAAGAAATTGGAGGAAAGGTGAGCAGTGAGCAGCAAGAGGTTCGTAGGTACGAACACGACGAGAAAGAGAGAGAGAGAGAGAGAGAACACAGGTGTGGCTCGTTGCTCAACCACCTTCTGCCTGAGCTAGCTGATGCTAAATTCATTCTATCACACGTTTTTTTTATCGATTCATTCACAATCACAACAATACTACTATTCTACCCTTCATAGTCTTCTTCTAGGCTTCCTTCACCACCAACCTCTGCATTCGTGTCATCATCATCATCATCGTCGTCGCCTACGTCGCCGCTTTTGCTGCTTTCCACGTCATCACCGCCATTATCATCGCAGTTCGGAAGTGAAACGGGTGGTTGATGCTGCTTGTTGGTGCTGTTCCCCACTAAGGGAAGTGGCTCGGTGAGTTCCCTGCCATCTCGAGGTGGTGTAAACACCACTGGCAGGTAATGCTCCATCTCGCATGGGAACTTTGAGTTCTTAAAGTGCTCCTTCAATGCCTCCAAACCCTTCATTGCCATTAAACCATTCATTATGACCATTTACTACAGCCACTGGTATTTTTTATTTTATTTTTTTAGTGTCATACCTGAACTCTTGCATAGGTGACTTCACATATTTTTCTTGAGTTAAAAACCTCCCAATGTTGAAGATGGAAGGCCTTGTAGAGCCTGAGTGTGGCCTCCGGGGATGTCATGTTCACGAACCCATATCCCACGTTGCACTTGTTGCTGTTCCAAAACACAACAACATAAATTTGCAGGGTGATTTAATTAATTAATCAGTTCTGGTCACAGGAAATGGAACAACATACTTGAAATCAATGGGGAGGTACACGAAGTCGTAGGAGGATAGAGGCTGCTCATTGCCGTCTTCTATCTGCTCGTTGCAGTGTATGCAGTGATTATCCAGCATGTTCAATAGCAACTTCTGACTGCATCATGTCCAAAAATTTCACACAATATAAAATGCTTAAGAATTTCAAATCGAAACAAAAACAAATAAATAATAAACAATAAAAAACACCACATTAAACTTTAATTTATTCAATACTCATTCATACTATCATTATACTTTACAGTGTTATACTTAGTAGTACATCTCGTAGCACCTCTCTCTCACTCACTCTCTCTCTCTATTGGTGATTTCTGATGGTCTGAGCTGATACTGGGAGGTAAGATAACAGGAACAGAAACAGAAGAAAATGAAGCAACGGAGTATAAATAAAATATAAAAAAACGGACCTGTACTTGTTGGGAATGTTTTTGATCATGACAGTGGTTCGAGTATCTTTGGGACCAGATTCGACAATGGCATCCTCTTTAATTAGAAAGCGAGCTTCGAGTTTTTTTGCCTGCTTTCCCTTCCAGTGCCTACTTCTAGGTAGTTGCTGTGGGTGTTGTTGTTGCTGCTGCTGCTTTGTGGTTGCTACGACTAGCGTGGTCTCGCAATTCTGCTTTCTGGTAAGATTCCTCCTAGGGGGGCCACCAGCATGTGAGTGGTGCTGGTCTTGAACCCCATTTCCAACATCCCCGGTCAAAGTGATTGACCCAATTGCCTCATCCACAGAATCTTGGACCTTGACGGGACTTGGCAATGATTTATTGCGAGAGAATTGAGGGTGAGAGGCATGCAAGCGAGGAGCAGCAAAACGACGAGGCGGGGAAGGATGGAAGGGTGGTGGTGGGGCATTGAAATCGAGAGGAGTGGTTTTGGAGGAAGGAGAGTGGTGGAAGAATTTGCGAGTGTGACCACCGGGTCTGCTGAACTCGATGATGATGGGTTTCCCGTGGATTTGCTTGCCGTTCATGTGTTTCAAGGCCTTGGCAGCGTCTCTGGTGTCGAAGAACTCCACGAATCTTTGGTTCTTTTTCCATGGCGTATCTCTCAATTCCTTTATGGGACCTATCCCCACCAAAACAAAATCAAAAAAAGCTAGCCAAAGTGGAGAAACAAAAAGTCCAAGACAGAGACATCTCAATCCCATTATTATTATTTATTCTTTTTATCACCTCAGTTTGCAACAAATATAATAATAATAATAATAAAAGATGCAAGAGAAGGGTTTGCAGAGAGATACCGAAAGGGTGGAAGAGTCGACGGAGGTGGTCGGTGGAGATGTGAGGGTCTAAGTTGAAGACCACGAGGGTGCCTTGGTTGTGGGCGTCGGGGATGGAGGAGGAGGAGGGGAGCACGTAGTGTGCGGAGATGGGGCGGGCGGAGAGGAGGCCTGGCGAGGCGGGGGCGACCTGAGGGAAGTGGTGGTGCATGGAGCGGATGGCGGCGAAGGCGGACTCTGCATGGCGGAGGTCGTAGAAGTGGACGATGAGGATTCCGTGGCGGAGGGCTTCCGTTTGGAGGGCTCTGACGTCGCCGAAGGCCTGGAGTTCGGCGCGGAGGGCGGAGTCGGAGGTGAAGGGGAGCGGCGTGAGGAGGAGGGAGCGGGTGGAGGAGGTGGAGAGGTGAGGAGGCGGAGGAGGAGGAAGAGGGTGTGGGAAGGGTAAAGGTAACGGTAAGGGTAGAGGGAGAGGAATAGGGTACCATTGGCATTGAATGACGGGGTTGCTCATGCTTGGTCTGAACTCTTCGGCTCTTGGGTCTAAGCTTCCTTCCAACCGGTCCAACCGGACAATGATTCCGGTTTCTCCCATTAGACCAACACTCAACCGAACCACTCTCTTTTCCTCCTTTCCCTCTGCTTCTTCACTTGTGTTATGTCTTTGTTTCTGTGACAGACACAGAGGTTTTCTCTGTTGTTATTGTGTTGTGTCGGAGCGAGGCTTCTGAAACGGGTTAGAAAAGAAAAGAAAACCAGAGAGAGAATGGAGAAGGAAGGAAGAAAGAAGGACAGAGAGAAGACAGGAGCGAGTCACTCAGTAACTGACTCACTCACTCACTCAGTCGCTCGGTCGCTGGACTGTTTTCCTCATTCTCTACTTTCCTATCGAAGGCAAAGTTGCTAAAAATGTACTTTCCCTCCCACACCATTCCATGTTATGCTTGCAAGGATTTTACATTTTTGCCCCTCTCTCCCTCCATTACTCTATTCTTTTCTCCATCACCACTCTTTGCAAAATCTTCATTCTTACCATTTAGACTATTCAAAACAAACATTCAATGAGCTAATTAAGAAAATACTATTCAATTTCCTCTATTTAATATATTTTGACTGATGTCCTTTTTTATGTTATAATATATTTATATACATTTTCAAAATATGATATTTTAATTTTATTCCTTTTAAGATTCATATAAATACTGTCTGTTGCAACGTTATTGTGTTATGATATATTTATATATAAAGAGTCAAACGAGAATCCAATAAATGAAGAGTTTGACCAGAGTGATATGTTACATTTGAGTTTTGCAAAGAGTATATATAATCTGTTTGGGACAGCTTTTCATTAACATGTTAAAACCATGATGATTAATTAAATAAATAATAATTAAGGTTATTGATTCTCCATTGAATGGTGTTGAAGTTGCTTTGCTGCATAAAACAAGATATGCCAAAAGAGGACAGTAATAAATGGCTCCAATGCCTGCTTGAGGACCGTACTATTTCATGTTTTTGTATTTTCTACTGCTCATTATGCTTTTTCTGTGAACACTTCCTTACACTCTCTGAATTTTGTGACACTCTTTTTCTTAGCTATCTTCACCTCTCCCCCTTTCTCGTTCCTTCATTTCATCTAGGCCCAAAATCAAGCCCGTAAGATACCTCAGATTTTTTCCTCATCATTTTTAATTAATAAAACCAATGATTACATATGTTTGGAATATCTAATTTGATCAAAGTTAAAATTTATTTTCATCTCAATTTTTGGTGTGTTTTTATTTTAAATTTAAAAATAATAAATATAATTATTTGTAATCTAACTACGTTAATTATTTTACTTGTTAAATTATTTTTCTAATTAATATATGAATTAAATCATCTCTAAATTATATGACCATCTGGTCAATCACAAAGTTGGCAACAATTACAGCTTAAACAATCAATTAAAAAACAAAACGGAAAGTTATCAACCTGACAGTCATCTTATAGATTGGATAGCGACCATCAACATGGACAGTTAACCATCAAATCAGACGATTGATAACCAAAATGTACTGTTTAAATATGAACAACATATATTGATTATAAAACAGATTTACTTAGTGTTAAAACATGATTAATCATGTTTGGACCATATAATCAAGTCAACCTTAATCAAAAGTTTATTACAAAATCTATAAATTGGGGTTTAAGGTAAGAAAATATAGGATACATGCATTAATTACTTTTTGTCTAAGTTGATATAACTTTGGCATCGTAATATTTTCTGTAGGTACCATATGAGTAGTCCAAATACACAAATAAGACAAGTTTTGAATGATGTGAGAAAATATTTGAAGACCAAACACTTAGACCTAAAGACTTCACATCACATCCAAAATAATATCAAACAATTATCAACTTGTTTGAAACGTCAAAACAAAAATTAACATAATTAAATTATCTATTTTTTTAAAAAAAAATAAAAACAAAATTGTATCAAAATTTAAAAATAAACTAATTATAATTTTATTTTAAAATTTTAAAACTAAAAATATATTTAATCCAAATATAATCTACTAAACAATTATTATAAATAATCATTATAAAAAATATAAACGAATTAAAATTTTACTTTAAATTTAAAACTAAAAATATATTTAATCTTAATATCAACCTCCTCAATAAGTAAAAAAAATGAATGGATGAAAACTGATTTAATTGAATTGTGGAAAAGACAGATAAAAAAAAGAACGTGTCTCGTTACGTGGAGACAAGTGTGGATGGTTGTTCTGTAAATAGTGGTTGGGATTATAATAAAGAAAAGGGAATTTGAGTTGCCATTAGCAGTGGGTGTGGTCGAAGACACTACAATCAGTTTAATAATAATTGTCTGTTTCATTGAGTTAGGATTCCAATCTGCTCTGAAAGGTGAGATTTCTCAAGGGTTGGACCTCTCAAACCTATTTTATTCTGACCATTTGATTCTTTGCATGACACTGCCTCCATCTTCCACGTCTTCCATTGTCCTTTTCATATATATATATAGACAATGATATTTTCACAATATTTTTTTTAACAATATTTTAACACCATTTACATGTCATTATGTGATTGGTCCATGTTAATGTTTATGATTATTATTATTGATTGTGGAATAATTTTGGATCAGTCACAGAAGGAACGTAGATGATGTTAAAATGTTGTTAAAAAGATATTGTCAAATATCATTATCCAACTTTATACTTCTTCCTCTTTTTTTCTTACAAAAAGTGGAATGTGAATATTATAAATGTTAAATAATTCTTATATTTATGAAAAAAAAAATCTTTTTGTACACACAAATTTTCATACTATTACTTTTACTTTTTTTTCTTTCTAAAAATATAAAAATGTGTTACCGTGTCATTTATTTTTTTATTTTTGTAATGGATAATGATACTTTGACAACATTTTAACATCATTTACGTATCATTTTGTGATTAGTCCATGTCGGTGTTTATGATTATTATTATTGATTATAAAGTAATTTTGGACCAATAAACGTAGATGATGTTAAAATGTTGTCAAAATATCATTATCCTTTTTTAATACGTGTCAAATGGATGTAAATGTATATCATACTATCATTACTCTTAAGAAAAATATTATAAAAAGAAAAATGATACTTTGACACATATATATTTTACATTCATCTAATATAATTTTTTCTTATTTTTTAGAAAAATGAAATTTTGACACATAAATTTTTTATATCCTTTGATATTATCATTTTTTATTTTTTACTTTCTTTTTTATCGAAAAAATATAAAAATTTATATTTTTAAAATTATTTTATCTTTATACTATGGATCAAATAAATGTAAAAATGTGTCATATGATAGTATTTCTCTATTTTTTTTAAATAGAAAATTTTATTCATTTAGAACTATTTTATCATTGTAATATATGTTAAATGAACATCCTATTATTATCTATTAAAAAAAATATGGGTGTATAGACCAAAGGAATGTGGCACTTAAAGTAGGTGAAAGCGATGTTTCCCTGCATCTCCTTCATCACCACCGTTCTTAAGAAGGGAGTAAGTACTACGTTATAACAAACCATATTCACATTCTGATTTTGTTTCTTCTGCAATTTTGGAAGATAAATAATTTTAATATTTTTATCTTACTTATCTATGTATATATCATTATACGAACATTGATTTTGGGTCTTAATTAATTTTGACAGTGTGACAATGATGTGAAAGAGAGAAAGCAGTGCATGGGATGAAAAGAAAAAGCAAGAAGGAAGAGTTAATTAGAGACAAAAAGAAGTGGGATTTTGGCCACCACCAGAAGGAACCATCCTTGTTACCAGCAATGTTTGCTGCACTCTCTCCACTAACTTATGCCTATTATATCTTCCATCATTTCAATTTCATCAACCATTAACATTTTAAACTCTATTATGTTATTTCCAATCAGACCACATCGAAATTTGTGAACATCTTTGAGTCCCTAAGAAGGAATGATAAAAACAAATCAAACAACTTTATCGAATAATCATTTCAGTTTAATCCTTTTTCTCTCGTCAATCCAAGCGGAAGAAAAACATCATGCATATTATAATGTAATAAAATCACGATTTTGAAACCTTGGGGAGTGGTCGCGTGGCGCGGGACCACGGACCAAGATGTCATACTACGATGTCTGTCGGGTCACTGTGGGAAATCGTTTCGCAATCTTCACGTACGTGTGGCCAAAACCTTAGATTTTACCCTTTTTTTTTTCTTTCAATACAAGGTGGGAATTTCTTATTATTTTCTTTTCTGTTTCTCTGCTCTTTGTGCAGTTCAATCATGAACAAAACAAACCCTTCAACTACTCAATCAAGCTTAATTTTCTTTGTAATTACAGAAAAAAGGACACGCACCTCTTATTTTTTATTCTGTTTTGTAACTCTAAGAACATGTTTTTTTTTCTTTGTTTACATGTTTGGATACGACATCGAATCATTTACACAATTTTTTTCAGGTTATCGAATAGTTACTAAATCAAGTTTCATTTTCACTCCTGTCTTATAACTACTCAGTCAAAGTCTTCGTTTTCACTTCACCATTTAATAAACGGATAATTATTAAAGGTTATTTGATGCTTAAATCAGTAAACTGTCATGGAAAAGTTCAGAATAATTATATTAAATGCATAATAAATACGATCACATGTCTCTTATATTTAATCTCTATTTATAGTTTTTGATATAAGTTTAGATTAGTGAAACCTTAATTTCGACCCAATCTCATACTAATACCCTAACTACCGTTTACCTTAATCCCTGATTATGGCCGTTCAGTCTTAGTGGTTGATTCTGTCACATTCCCTTGCTGCTTAACTGTTTCTTGTTCTTCAGAGTCGTCCAGTTTAGCTTGTGTGAAATATTTACATATGGTCATCTCGCCCATACGGTACAATTACCATTTGGTTTAGTGAAAAATTACTTAGCTTAGTAAAAAATTATTTACAAAAGACAATCTTGGGATAAGTTTCAAGTTATTATTAATTTAATTACAACCCAACTAAGGATAATCTTACATATGTTTAACATAATATTTTTATATTAATTCTTATTTAATCCAACTGTTCAGCTATCCGACGAGTTCCTTTGAAATTCCAAGCTCAGTTAGGTCATAAATACTGGTTTTTGCTTGATATTTTGTTACTAAAAAAGGTGAATATAGGAATATGTTAAGGCTGCGCAACATGGAGCATAATTTAATTTTGATAACTGCAACATAGTCTATGAGATGTAAAGCTTTCTTATTTTCTGAGTTATCGTTAGATCTTGGTCAGCATAAGGAAAATAACTTTCCATTTTATTGTGTTGTTCTTCCAGTTAATGGTATTGTAACCGTTAGTTTCCGGATCAGAAAAGGAAACTGTCGCATGCCCAAAATCAACGTTACCAGATAATGAAGGCCATGTTTGGCTTTTAATTGGAAACCGTTGATTTTCAATTCGGTCCAACTGCAAACTGAGTTTTGTCTTAATTTT